ATTATGGTGTAAAATAGAATAATCACATAAAGCACCGACCATCCACTGACTATTGCCGTTACACTCGAACGAGTCAAAGGTTAGCGGTCAGGTCGCGATTAAAACAAATAAGGTACGAATGAAGCAGAAAACTAAATGAAGTCAAATAGTGGAATCGATGTGTAAATATACAAAGGACGTTGAACGTCAAATGTTTATGTATGTATGAGGCGGATGGTGTTAGGTGAATGAAACGTGAACATAACGAAATGTGGAACCCAGTTGGATCGTCGGGTCGTTACAGAAAGGATTTTCACAGATCGGTCAATACACCACCCGGCAAAATCTTTCCTCACATCATACGCTCAAAGAGAAATTCAAGGGAGTTCCAAGGAAAAGGGGGGACACAGAGGGATTATGGTGTAAAATAGAATAATCACACAAAGCACCGACCAAAAACTGACTATTGCCGTTACATCATCCCCTCCTAACACAATAAGTGTTGTCCTCAACACCAACACCGCCTTCGGCTGCGACTTCTACCTGCTCTACTGCCAGTGGTACTTCCTTGGTCTCCGTACGGCCAGGTTCACCTACCGCGGCATTACTTCTCGTAGCTGGTTTGAGACGGTTGTAATGCACCGTCATAGGTCTTGTCGATCGACCGTCAGTTCGAACATTGCGGCAAGTAGCATCCGACCACACTTCTAACACTGTGTACGGTCCCTCCCAGCTTTTATGTAGCTTTGTTGGCCTTCCAGGTGGTGGTATGGGATTATGCAGGAACAACAACTGACCGGGTTGTACGGGTTTTCCGGCCACATTCCTGTCGTAATGCTCCTTCTGATGTCGGTGCGCACTCTTTAAACAATCCCACGCCAGTTGGTGAGCTCGATGCAGTCGCTGTTTCAAGTTCCATGCGTAATCAGTTGATAGAAGGATGTCTGGTGCGAGGAACGGCATGCGGGTATCGGACGGTAGTCGCACTTCCCGCCCGGTTAACATCGCATGTAGTGTCTGTCTGATCGATGAATGAACCGCAGCTCGATAGGCTAATAAGCACGAAGTTAGGGCCACATCCCAGTCCTGTGTGGAGCATTCGTTGGTAGATGCCTTTGGTAGTCCTTTTAGAGACCTGTTGGTTCGCTCGGTTTGTCCATTTCCTTGCGGATGGTAGGCCATGTTGCTCGTCTTCCGGATGCCGCAGACTTGACACAATTCTGCGACTACCTCGTTCTCGAAGCTGGACCCCCTATCTGAATGCAACTGGATGGGCGCACCCAAGCGTGAGATCCAATTATCGAATATTGCCCGGGCGGCGTCGACCGCAGCTATAGCCGGCAAGGGTACTGCCTCGCACCACTTGGTAAAGTAATCAACCAAAACGAGGATGTACCTATTCCCGCGTTCTATCCCCGTTAGCGGTCCGATTATATCCATACTCACCATCTGGTTGGGTTATCCGGTCAGCATTGGTTGTAAGGGTGCTCGGTGATAATGTGCTGGCGGTTTGATTCGGGTGCACTCGATACATCTATTGCAGAAATTTAAGACATCCCGCCGCTGTTGAGGCCACCAAAACCGACTCGACACAACGTGGTCCATTTTGTGTTGCCCGGGGTGGCCTAGTTCCTCATGCAGTTTCTGCAGTATTTCGGCCACCTTACTCTGAGGTACCACTATTTTCGCTTCGTAGTGTTCCCCATACTTGTGGTACAGGATGCCATCCTTGGCTTGTAGTCGCGATCACGTGGACCACAGGCAGTGGCTTTCCTAGCTGTTATGGGCCATTTCCTCCTTTATCGGTTTGTCTGCGCCAGCCTGGATTCATGTATAGAGCAGCTTGGTCTCCGGGTTCGCACTCTGTGCTTGGGCCAATTCCATGGAACCCGAATGACCTAGGGACACCACAGAGATCAGGTAGGATGGCGCGTGTCGTCTGGAGAGGGCATCGGCGTTGGCGTGTTTCTTTCCTGGTCGGTGCTGGCACTCGAAGTCGTACGCTTGCAATTGCTCTTGCCACCTCGCGAATTGACCTTCTGGTTCCTTGAACGTTTGTAACCACTTAAGTGACTGGTGGTCCGTTCGAACTGTGAATCCTCTACCCAGGAGCGAATGTTTGAAATGTTTAACATACTTCTCCAAGGCAAGCATCTCTTTCCGCGTAGCACAGTAATTTCTTTCCGACTTACTCAGGCAGCGGCTGGCGATCCCGTGTTCCTTGTGGTCCGGGCTGATCTGCGACAGGACCGCCCCAATCCCAGTATCACTAGAGTCTGTGTCCACGATGAAGGGCCCTGCGTCATTGTCCACGTCGGGGAAGCTGAGGATCGGTGCTTGCATCAATGGAATTTTCAATTCTTCGAACGCCGACTGGCATTCGGCATTCCACAAAAACTTCCGACCCTTCTCCGTTAATCGATGAAGAGGGAGTGCTATCTTTGCGTATCCTTCCACGAACCGACGGTTGTAGGAGGTGTATTGATCGATCTGTGAAAATCCTTCCTGTAAAGCCCAGTCATTCCATGTCGGTTCCACATTTCGTGAATTTTACGTTTCATTCACCAAACCTCATCCGCCTCACATACATATAGACATTTGACGTTCCACTCCCCTTGTATATTTACACATCAATCCTACCATTTGACTTTGTTTGTTTATCTGCTTCAATTTTTATCCTACTTGTTTTAATCGCGACTTGAGCGCTCACATTTGGCTCGTTCGTGTGCAGCGTGACGGTGAGCGTGCTTTTCTTACCCAGGCTCATTTTCTTCTATTCAGATTTGTTGAATTACGCTCACAGTAACACTTGGCTCTTGTTTTCAAGTTGTTTCGAGATCACTTTGAGGTTTGTACCGTTTTATTTGCTTATTCGATCGTTTAATAATGCAGTACCGTAGAAATTCGCCGGATCGTTCGTTTTGTTGACGTTTTGGGATCCAATTTCGGCTACGCGTCGCTCGTTGATCTATTTGGGAGTTACAGGAGGTAAGTACCAAAAACTGGCGGACCTCTAGTAAGGATGAGGGTACCAGCCAGTTAGCTATTGCATCAGTCTTTTCTGGGTCATTCTGGATGCCGTCCCCACTGATGACATGCCCCAGAAATTTGACGTCGCTACGTAGGGATTCATATTTCTCGGGTTTGAGTTGCAGTCCCGCTCTTTGGATGGCGTGCAGCACTTCTTCTAGATTATCCTAATGTTAATCTAGGGCACGACCATACACAATGACGTCATCCAAATAAACCAAACACCTCTGCGGCACTGACTCGCCCAGAACGATATCCATCAATCGTTGAAAGGTAGCTGATGCGTTAGCTAGGCCAAATGGCATCGTCTGAAACTCGAAAATTCCAGAAGGGATGCAGAAGGCTGTCTTCTCCTTGTCATCTGGATACATCTCTACTTGCCAATATCCAGATGCCAGATCTAGGGTGCTAAAGTATTTGGCACCGCCCAAGGCTTCCAGGGTATCATCGGTGCGTGGTAACGGAAATCCATCTCTGCTTGTAACCTGATTTAGTTTTCGGTAGTTCACACAGAGTCGTATCGCTCCAGTTTTCTTCTTAACTATGACCACTGGATACGTCCATGGTGATCGGAATGGCTTGATGATCCCTTCCTGCAGCACCTCCTGGATTAACCTCCCCAAATCGGCCCTATACTCTACTGGTACCCGTCTGGAGTGTTGTCGTATGGGTGGTGCCCCTTATGTGTCAATACGATGTTGGATGATCGGAGTTCTGCCCAGAGGAACGCACTCCCACGCAAACGCAGCCTGGTGTTTGATCACTAACGCATGCATGCGCTCCCTCTGTTGCAACGAGATGTCCGGATTGGCGCGACTCAGAAGTCTGGAAACTTGGCCCTGTTTATCTACCGGATGCACCTCCAACACCCAATCGGGTCCTCCGTCGGTGTGTTCTCTTAGAGATACTCGTTCCCCTCCGAATATCAGCCCGTCCTGGTTAACATCAATGCTGCACTGGAAAGCCCGGAGGAAGTCCATTCCCAAAATCAGATCGTATAGAATTTCTGGAGACACTACAACTGGGTGTGTGATACGAGCGCTCCCAACCGTTAGACTCATTTCATATACGCCGTACACATGTAATGGGGTCCCATTAACCGCTTTTAACCGCATTTCTTTCGCCTTAACTATTCCGCTGTGGCGTAGTTCGGGCACTATAAAGCTGCACGCGGCACCTGTGTCGACCAAAGCTTTGGCGTTCTTACCCCCAATAGTTACTGTTAACAACGGCGGGATGACAGTAGTGGTGTTAGAGATGCATACAGGTGGCAAGACTGAAGAAAATCTTTGAGACTCACTGTGTTGTAGATTCCTCAGGGGTTCATAGGGTTCCGGTGCCCGCGGCACGTTGCTGAATCTGGATCCCGGTCCCCATTGGCCTCGGTTAATAGGGGCAGGTCGCCACTGGTTCGAAGGCATCGGCAACGGGCGGATTGGTGTTCTTCGGGTCGTGTGTTCTTGGGTTTAGCGTGCAGGGTTACAACCGTCCGTTTTCCGCGGGGTGTCAAATGTCCGTGCTCGGATAACTGCTTCCAACAGACTTGCCACTAGATGAGCAGCTAAGTCCTGTCGGGCAGCCTCGCTCCGCAACCCGTCTTGTAGTCGTTTCCTGGCCAACACTTCGCGAGACTCCAGCGATCTGGAGCCAAGGGCCTTGTGGACCAGGCCTCTGATCACGGTTGCATACTCTCCGACCGTCTTATTCTCCAACTGGACCCTCCGCCAAACGGTGTTTGTCAACGGCGGGATTGGTCGGCTCCTCTGCGAACGTTTCGAGAGCTTTCCAGATATCTTCTACTGATTTCCTGTCGTCTATACCTTCCTCCTCCAGAATATCTTGCACCCTTTATCTGAGTTGGTCCAACATACCGACAGAATGCTCTCGTCATGGTATCGAGGACAAGTAACGACATATCTTCCGGCGGAAACGCCGCAGGTTTGATCCTACATCGAATACTGGTGGAGGTTCCAAACGTGGTAAGCTGCCACTCAGAACAGGAAAATAAGTTAATCGAGTGCGAACGTCC